AAGACAACACTCCTATTGAAGCTTGGAGTGGAAGAAAGCCATCAACTAAACACCTACGAGTATTTGGGTCTATCTGCTACATACATGTTCCTGATCAAAGGAGGCACAAGCTTGAATACAAGACTATACGAGGAATATTCTCGGGATATAGCACACAATCAAAAGGCTATCGAGTCTACAACCTACAAACAAAAAAGCTCATCATCAATCGAGATGTTGAAGTTGATGAAAATGCTTCATTGAATTGGGAAGAAGAAAAAGTTATTAAAAGCAACATTTTACTTCCAGTGCAACAATCTCAAGAAGAAACTCAAGAAGAGGAAGAAAATTCAGGTAGGCTTTTTCCACCTCCACAACAACAAGATTCTTCACCTTAATCTAGTCCAAGAAGACTAAGATCTTTGGTAGACATGTACGAAACTTGCAATATGGTCACGATTAAGCCCAACTGTTATGAAGAAGCATCAAAGCAAGAACTATGGTCAAGGCAATGGGAAGAAGATCAAATTGAAGATATGTTACCAAGATCAAGATATGAAACTACTACGCACTTTGCTTGGAGTTACTGAATTTGCATTAAGGAGGAGTATTAAAACATAATGCAAATTCTAGAATATTGTAGAAACTCCTAAGATAGAAGAAAGAAATATAATACAAGTTCTAGAATATTCTAGAAAAACCTAAGATAGGAAGAAAAATCAAGAATATTCTACATAGGTAAAAATATAGGACATTCCACATGAGTTGTGGCTAGCATGTTCTAGAATAATCTATGGGCCTATAAATACCCATGAACTCTACCATTTGATGTATGTAAACAACATCTACCATTTGTAAGAAGCCAACATCTATTACAACTAAAAACAACTACAACACTTCTTCCAACTACTACTTTCACATTTCAGTATCTCCACATTTTCTCTACATTCAACTATCCCTACATTTCCTCTATCCCATTAATTATTCCTTTCACAATCTCAAAATACTAACAGGTTCCCTCCATTATAACTTCCACCGCAGCAGAAGTTGTGGCTTGTGTGGTCTATCTCCCAATTAGAGGTTACAACCCAATCATAAATAAAGTGTGGACCCATCTATTTAAGTTAATTATTTTACCCAAGTTCAATAAATTTAACCGTATTTAAAAAAAAAATATTGTATGATGACTTTTAATATAATGTTGTTGATTAATGTGTATAAATTGAAATTTTAAAATGATAAATATTTGGTTGTATTTTTATAAGTCAATGATACATGTAATAAGATATCTTTTAAACTAAGTTATTTTTAGATCTAATTTTCAAATTAAATATATAAGTAAATTTAATATTGTAAGAATTAGAATTATAAGGAACTAAAATGATATATTACTATTTTAAAAGCAATATATTAAGAATTTTTTTAAATAAGTTTAGATATTATTATTTTAAACCAGTGAGTATCTTAATTATAACATAAAGAAAAATATAAGAGAATTTATATCTTAATTTTAGTACGTTCAAAGAATTGGAAGCTTGTAATTTTTCTAAGACATTACTTGTGTAATAAGTCAACTGCGAATAAATTATTAAAGACTGTTATCACGTATTAGGAAATTCATCAAGTTGATGTTCTCATCATTATTTATTTTGCAAAAACTCTTTAGCTAGATAGAAAAAAATATTTATTTATAATATTGTTATTCTTCCAAAATTATTTGACAATGGTTTTTTATCCGTATTATGTGTATATAGTAAAATTATACTACCTATACCTTTTTTTTAAAAGGATACAACAAAACATGGTGCTATACAAGTAGAAGGGAAACTCTAGAGCTGTCAAAATGGGTCACAACCCGCGAGTTAATCCGGCCCACCACGGGCTTGAGTCGGCTTGGATTAGAAAAAATTGTATTTTTTTTATGTGGGTTAGATTTCAACCCGGCTCGTTTAAACCCGGCTCATGCGGGTTGAACCCGTGGTGGGCCGGGTTGGACCACCAACCCACCTACATAATTTTATTTTATTAAAATTTAATTTTAATTTTATAAAAAAAAATTTATTATTTTGTTTTTGCTTGAAAAAATTATTTAAGTTCCTTATTTTCAAAATTAATTAAACACCCATGTTGAGAGTGAAATTTGTTTAGATTTGTATTATAAAAAGTTTGTAATTTTTTTTTATTTAAAAAAAATTGTAATTAAGTGAGCCAGTGAGCCAACCCGTTTACCCACCAACCCGTGGTGGGTCGAGCCGGGTTCGAATTTTTCTGACTCGCTAATAAATGAACCGGGTTGGGTTGGCTCACTAAGTGACTAACCCGTGGTGGGCCAAGTCGGGTCGGGCTGAGTTGCTCGTTTTGACAGCTATACTCTAATGCAAGCACCACCATTATGCAACTAATCAAGTAGACGGGAAATTTAAGTTAGCTTGTAGGTAATCATGAGAAGAGTGCAATACAAAAGAAAATCAGGTGAGGTAGTTGCAGCTGAGATATGAAATGAAATTGTAGAAATAACATGTTTTAAAGCTTGTTATTTAGAACATGAAGAAATATTAAGTTAACAAGCTATTTGTATTTTTAATGTTCACATTTATTTTATATAATATTAATTACTTTTGATTTAAGATTATTATGATTTATTATTAAACATATATGTCGTTAATAAAATTAAGCAAATCATTTGAATTATTAAAAAGTTAAATTAGTTGTATTATAGGTGGTTTCTGAAACCTCAAAGTAAGAAAATTCAGAAATTTTTGGTGATTTTGAGCAACCTAGTCCAGGAGGTTTTAAGTAGCTGCAACACTTATCGGTTGTTTCTGTAAAAACCTTGCAACGAGTTGCAGTTTTAGAATCTCCTGTAAAAATAGTGATGGTTTTTATAAATTTCCGTAGATAGTGACGGTTTTGAAAACAAAACGTCATAAATTATTTGTCGACGATGATCTTTCTAACAGTTTTTTTAACCGTAGAAAATTTCTTTATTGGAGTTAAAACTGTCGATAGTACGAAAATAAACCTCTAATAAATCATATACTTTTGTATTGTTTCTGCAAATAAATTTTTAAAGACAAATATCACATATTAAGAAATTTATCTGGTTGATGTTCTCATCATATTTTATTTTACAAAACTCTTTAGATAGAAAAAAAAATATTTACTTATAATGCTCTTATTATTTCAAAATTATTTGACTATGTTTTTTTATCCCTATTATATGTGTATATAGTAAAACTATATACTTATACCTTTTGTTAAAAGTAAAGGTGTCAATTTGATTCATGACCCCGGAGTTAGCCCTAACCCACTCTTGAAAAAGTCCCCTCTTAAGAAGTCCCTCATATGGGATCAAAAAAAAGCCCCAACCCCCAAAACTCCCTCTCAAGGGGATTAGGGTCAGGGTTAAGGTGGGTTTAGCCCACTAAAATTCCACTAAAATTTTTTTGGAAACTAAACTTCAACATTTTTAATAGTAACTATTAAAAGTATTAAATTTTATATTCATGTAATTGATTTCTTATTTCAAATTATTAAATAAAACTAATTAATTATAGTATAATAGAATATTTAATAATCAAAATAACCACTTTTTTAAATAATTAAAAACAATTGCAAACCACACACTTAATTTTATACAACTAAATAGTATTACAAATTTATTTTACTGAAATATTATAAAAATGCTTTATTTTATTGTCAATTTTAATAAAATTATGTCTTATATTGCAGACACCAATTATTAGAAAATTATATATAATTAGTAATATCAAAATAACCACAAAGAGAGATAATAACATATTAATTTGATTTAATATTTGCACTGTTTTTACAATTCTTAAAAAGAATCATTGTTTTGTTTCCTCAACTTCTACAATATCACTCAATCTGTTTTTAATTATTTAAAACTAAAATTAATTCAAAAATTTATTATCTAAAATTTTTGGATCAAAAATAGTATTAATATTTTATGTGTAAATTAAACTTATGTTTTATTTTGTTTTTTTCTCTCTCATAATCTTTTCTCAGAATCACCATAAGATATATTATAAAAAGAAAGTTAATTTCTTAAAAATTTATAAAAGATGAAAATTTTAAATAGATCTAAAGTACTAAAGAATGACAAATGTTATAGTGTTTCAATTCTCTAACTAACACATTAAATAATTTATTTTTAACTTTCAATTAGAACACATAACATAAATGTATGTTTATGTTTATGTTTATATTTATGTTTATGACATTTAAAATGTAAACATTTTGAAGTAGTACGACGAGATTGAATTCTATGGACGAATACAACTTTAGTCTGCACAAGGTTTATGAGTTTTTTCTTTTTATTTATTATTTTTGTTATGAACATGATTTGTTGAGTATAAAATGAAAAAGAAAATCATTTATATTTAATTTCTTTTTCAATAAATTTCTAAGAAAATAAAGAAGTCTCATTTTTTTTAAATTAAGAGTTTCAATTAGAGAAAATCTTCTCTTAAATTTCAATTAGGATAATTTTAGATAAAAAGTTAATTTCTTACTTATAACTTAAAAAAAAGTGAAATTAAATATTTAAATTTCAAATTTATAAAATGATCCTTTAATTATATACTTAGAGAATCTAACTCAATAAATATTGTCATTTTGCTTTTGCTTCTTGATTTTAGAACTCTTCTCTTACAAAAATTTTAATTTATTTTCTATAGTAACTATTTTTGTAACAAATTAGGAGTTAATTATATTTTTTCTTGTATTCAAAATGAACATTTTTTCTAAAAAAAAGGCCCATGGGCTGGCCCTGGCCCACAGGGCTTTTGAAGATATCTTGGCCCCGTGAGCTTTTTCTACGAGAAACTTTTTGGCCCTGTGGATTTTTCTGTCCACAACCCATGTGGGTTAGGGCCAAACCATGTAAGAAGGGCCAAATTGACAGGTCTAGTTAAAAGGACAGAACAAAACATGGTTGTAATAGATAGGTGCACAAGTTTGATGCATTTGTACATGATCACTTCAAATTGATACAGGGTATAGAGTTCATTACTGAAACGTTACTATATAGTATACATCAAAATTTTCTGGTGATTATTACATTGTGCCTATCTCTATGACTAACTTGTTTCCCAAAAGAAAGAAGAAACTGAAGAAAAAAGTGCTTTTATTGTTGGAGGAAGATATGTTGGCACAGGCATCATTTCTGGGAGAAGAGGTAAAGGAGAATCAAATTTAAGGACCTGAATCACTTGCCTTATAGAGGGCCTGAATGAGTAATCTGGATGAACACACCAAAGGCCAACAACCACTAAACCGATCATTTGTTTCTCATCAAATTCTCCACGTAACTTTGGGTCAACTGCTTCAAGTGACCTCCCCAATCCATAGAGCTTCCAAACCCACTCAACTAAAGTTATTTCACCCTCCTCAGCTTTTAGCTCAACACATTTTCTTCCACAAGCTATCTCCAACAACACAACCCCAAAGCTGTAAATATCAGATTCCTTAGTAGCCTTTCCTGAACTGAAATATTCAGGTGCAATATAGCCCCTGGTCCCTGCTATATGTGTGGTTTGTGACCCTTTCTCATGGTCCACCAGCCTAGCCAAACCAAAATCACCAAGCTTAGCATTGAAACTTGAATCCAACATAATGTTGCTTGATTTAATATCTCTGTGAATCACACACTGCTCCCACTCTTCTTGTAGGTAAAGCAATGCTGAAGCCAAGTCCAAAGCTATATTATACCTCACTCTCCAAGTTAAGAAGCTTTTCACTCCATAAAGGTGGGAGTCTAAGCTTCNNCCACTAAAATTTTTTTGGAAACTAAACTTCAACATTTTTAATAGTAACTATTAAAAGTACTAAATTTTATATTCATGTAATTGATTTCTTATTTCAAATTATTAAATAAAACTAATTAATTATAGTATAATAGAATATTTAATACTCAAAATAACCACTTTTTTAAATAATTAAAAACAATTGCAAACCACACACTTAATTTTATACAACTAAATAGTATTACCAATTTATTTTACTGAAATATTATAAAAATGCTTTATTTTATTGTCAATTTTAATAAAATTATGTCTTATATTGCAGACACCAATTATTAGAAAATTATATATAATTAGTAATATCAAAATAACCACAAAGAGAGATAATAACATATTAATTTGATTTAATATTTGCACTGTTTTTACAATTCTTAAAAAGAATCATTGTTTTGTTTCCTCAACTTCTACAATATCACTCAATCTGTTTTTAATTATTTAAAACTAAAATTAATTCAAAAATTTATTATCTAAAATTTTTGGATCAAAAATAGTATTAATATTTTATGTGTAAATTAAACTTATGTTTTATTTTGTTTTTTTCTCTCTCATAATCTTTTCTCAGAATCACCATAAGATATATTATAAAAAGAAAGTTAATTTCTTAAAAATTTATAAAAGATGAAAATTTTAAATAGATCTAAAGTACTAAAGAATGACAAATGTTATAGTGTTTCAATTCTCTAACTAACACATTAAATAATTTATTTTTAACTTTCAATTAGAACACATAACATAAATGTATGTTTATGTTTATGTTTATATTTATGTTTATGACATTTAAAATGTAAACATTTTGAAGTAGTACGACGAGATTGAATTCTATGGACGAATACAACTTTAGTCTGCACAAGGTTTATGAGTTTTTTCTTTTTATTTATTATTTTTGTTATGAACATGATTTGTTGAGTATAAAATGAAAAAGAAAATCATTTATATTTAATTTCTTTTTCAATAAATTTCTAAGAAAATAAAGAAGTCTCATTTTTTTTAAATTAAGAGTTTCAATTAGAGAAAATCTTCTCTTAAATTTCAATTAGGATAATTTTAGATAAAAAGTTAATTTCTTACTTATAACTTAAAAAAAAGTGAAATTAAATATTTAAATTTCAAATTTATAAAATGATCCTTTAATTATATACTTAGAGAATCTAACTCAATAAATATTGTCATTTTGATTTTACTTCTTGATTTTAGAACTCTACTATAAAAAAAATTTAAATTTATTTTCTATAATAACTATTTTTGTAACAAATTAGGAGTTAATTATATTTTTTCTTGTATTCAAAATGAACATTTTTTCTAAAAAAAAGGCCCATGGGCTGGCCCTGGCCCACAGGGCTTTTGAAGATATCTTGGCCCCGTGAGCTTTTTCTACGAGAAACTTTTTGGCCCTGTGGATTTTTCTGTCCACAACCCAAGTGGGTTAGGGCCAAACCATGTAAGAAGGGCCAAATTGACAGGTCTAGTTAAAAGGACAGAACAAAACATGGTTGTAATAGATAGGTGCACAAGTTTGATGCATTTGTACATGATCACTTCAAATTGATACAGGGTATAGAGTTCATTACTGAAACGTTACTATATAGTATACATCAAAATTTTCTGGTGATTATTACATTGTGCCTATCTCTATGACTAACTTGTTTCCCAAAAGAAAGAAGAAACTGAAGAAAAAAGTGCTTTTATTGTTGGAGGAAGATATGTTGGCACAGGCATCATTTCTGGGAGAAGAGGTAAAGGAGAATCAAATTTAAGGACCTGAATCACTTGCCTTATAGAGGGCCTGAATGAGTAATCTGGATGAACACACCAAAGGCCAACAACCACTAAACCGATCATTTGTTTCTCATCAAATTCTCCACGTAACTTTGGGTCAACTGCTTCAAGTGACCTCCCCAATCCATAGAGCTTCCAAACCCACTCAACTAAAGTTATTTCACCCTCCTCAGCTTTTAGCTCAACACATTTTCTTCCACAAGCTATCTCCAACAACACAACCCCAAAGCTGTAAATATCAGATTCCTTAGTAGCCTTTCCTGAACTGAAATATTCAGGTGCAATATAGCCCCTGGTCCCTGCTATATGTGTGGTTTGTGACCCTTTCTCATGGTCCACCAGCCTAGCCAAACCAAAATCACCAAGCTTAGCATTGAAACTTGAATCCAACATAATGTTGCTTGATTTAATATCTCTGTGAATCACACACTGCTCCCACTCTTCTTGTAGGTAAAGCAATGCTGAAGCCAAGTCCAAAGCTATATTATACCTCACTCTCCAAGTTAAGAAGCTTTTCACTCCATAAAGGTGGGAGTCTAAGCTTCCATTTGGCATGAACTCGTATACGAGGACAAAGTCATTCTTCTCATGACACCAACCAATGAGTTGTACTAAATTCCTATGTCTCAGTTGGCTTATTACCTTCACTTCTGTCACATACTCCTTCATTCCCTGTTTAGAATCTCTTGATATTCTCTTGATAGCAGCATAGGACTTCATGTCTTTCAAATAACCTTTATACACAGCACCAAAACCACCTTGCCCCAGCTTCTCAGACTCAGCAAATTTGTTTGTAGCACTTGCTAGCTCATTATAGGAGAAGCTCTTAGGCCCAGTGCCCTTTGGGAATTCATCATCAAAAACTAAAATTTGTTTTCTATCTCTATTCCTCTTCCACAATAAAGTAAAAACCAACCCTGACAAACTCAAAGCCAAGCCAAGACCAATTCCAAGCCCTACCCACAATCCTATTTTCTTTCCTTTTTTAGAATCAATAAGACTGGAATCTGGTGGGATTTTGTCATCGCTTTGTAGACTTGAACTAAATGACCATGATCTCAATGTATGCACCTCATACAATCTTCCTGTTGCGGCAGCAAAACCAAGAACAACCCTCCCCGGTAAGTGATCTCTCAAATCAACCTTGTATGAAATGTATTCTTCAACTGGTTTACTATCATTGTACATTGTGAATGAAACGCTCAAATTTAGAGTACTTGAATTGTACTTAATGCTGCAATTATAAACATTCCAAATTTGAATATCTGTCAACCATGACTTAGTTATGTTGGACTTCATAGAGTTGAAATTCACCCGAAGGGTCCCATAATTCGTTGTGGAAGGTGTCAAACTCCACTGCTACAAACGGGTGTTGAGTTGAATTCAATACTTGGTCGCCATCCACAAGTCCAAGACCACCTCCTTCTTTAATATCCTTTAGAAGTGGGAGATTAGGGTCAGCAAGGAAGAAGGCCATTCCATCTCCATAGTATCTCTTTTCTGAAAAGATAACAAAGGAAAATTTAGTACTGAAATCAGCAAGCTTTCTAGACTTCGTATCCCAGAGGACCATCTGTTCAAAACTCGTGACTCTCCCAACACTGTAATTGTTGTTTTGTTCTATGGTGTTGGAAGTGACTTGAATAGCTCCTTTCAGAACAGAAGCATCCCCTTCCCATTTTACATCACCATTCTTAAAGTTGGGGTAGTCAAATGATAGTGAGTTTGCAAGAGGGAGTATTTGAAGGATGAAAATTGTTCTCATTGCATGACAAAAAAGAATTGGATTATGAACAGTCTTATGCCACCAAGCCATCTATAAGCGAGGAATGCTAGTTCAATGTTTTGTGTTGGAACACTTTCATGTATGGAAGATTTACATATATATTGAGTTTTATGTTTTTATGCATGATTGTATTTTTGCTTATTTAATTGAATTCCAAAGTCTTATTCTAGATTATATAGTTGTCTTAATTCCATCAAGTTCTGTCATGGCCTACCTTGCCATATAGATTAGCGATGAGTACAATGTTTTTTGTCGATGGTGATAGACGTGAGTTGTGACTTAGTCTGAAAATTCCATACAGGATCACGAAAGCCGAAATTTCTGTATCTTATAATTTCTATCCTTTGTTTTGTGTTGATTTTGAGAATGTAGGATGGTCTTCATTCTTGAAACTTAGTGTACGAATCAAATTTGGCCGGCATTGTGGGAATTTGTTAATTTGGTGTCTTGACCATCAAAGGAAGAACACTCCATTTTAACTCTTTCAATTATTAGGATCGATGGATGGAAAGTTCTCCACAGAACAATGATAGAAAAATATGAAAAGGAAATGAAATCAATATATCCATGAGATAATATGTTTAGTTGCAGAGGTTATGCCGTATTAAATTATTCAAATTCTAAATTTATTTATTTATAAAATAATTTTATCTCACAAAAAAATTGTTTCTTTTCATTTTCTCATCTAAAAAATGTTTACACATGTTTTCCTCTAATGAAATAAAGTATTGGAATTCATGTAATCTAAACTTTTATATTATGTAAAAAAAAAGTTCGGTGATGTAAAAAAAAAAGTATGAATATCTATTACCTTAAGTAGAATGTTTTGTCACGTTTTCTTATTTAGATATATCCTGATTTATTGGTAGATGTTTTTGTGTTTTCTCGAATCTCTTATGAATCGTTCATAAAGATTTCTCCAATGCTTTTCTTCCTTGGATTTTCCAACACAAAACTATTACTGTTGTTGCATTCTTAAACTTTTTGACGGCAAAGGACTTGCTTTATTCAAAGCATGATCACGTAAACCAATCATTTAATGGGTTGAAGGAAAGTGATATAATCTTTATAGTGATATTTCTTCCAGCAGCCCCATTAAATTTCTCCTGCACACTATTATTTAGGATTTTATTTTCCAGAACGTACTAAATAATTCTGGAAATATTTTTCGATAGACACTCATCCACTTTTTTGGGAAGACACTCTCACCCATCCTTATTTCAGATAAAAATTTTCAAAAATTTTGATAGGGTGAAAGAAGAAAATTGATAGGGTACTGGAAGAAAGAGCCTCTTTACAGGGGAAGGTAAAGCCCAACACATTGGAGAGACTAGACTTAGCAAAAATGATATAGAAACCAGTTTTGTGGTTCTATAAATTGGATTTCAAGGGTATGAATGACCACTTAATTCATCTTCACTGGACATTGTGAAACACATGCAAGTCATTATTATCATTATTATTATTATTATTATTATTATTATTATTATAGTTAGTAATTATAAAAACAGTAGTTATAATTATTAATAGTATAATTATTAATCATTAATATTAGGGTATTTTTAATTCTATAAAAGAGGTTGTTTTGAAATTGGTTTTGCAAGATTCTTTTCTTTGTTGTTGGTTCACTAAATTGAAGATTATAATAATGTGTGTTCCCTAATTATTTATGATATTATACTACTTAATAACTTATTTGTTGAATAAAAAGTTATACTAGTTTTGTAACAAAATGTGGACATATATATGTTATCTAAAAAAACTCTTAAAGTCCATTGTATATAACTATTCATTTAATGACTACTGAATATTAAATAAGTGACTTAAAACTTTTGAGATATGATAATCAAAAGAAAAATATTTTGAAAGGTTTAAAACTAAAGCTCGCATATTTTATGAATCTACAAAAAAAATTATTTCAAAAGTTCTAAGAATGAAAAATAAACAAAATTATTATACATGATTACAAAAATAGAATTCCACAACACCATTTTATATTGATTATTTAATAATAAATGTAAAAATAATATGGTGACAAACTTATAATTATTTTAAAAAATTATATCGTTGTATATAGTAACCTATGTAGAAAGCATAATTGTAAACTTGTATATTTAAAGCTAAAATTGTAAAAAATAGTCTAAAAAAATAGCATAGATAATAATTCTAACGCTTAGTTATTGATTTTGTTAGACAATCGTAACTCTTTTTCTTGTGAAATTTTAATACGTGATCCTCATAGTTATTCATAAGGAAAAATACATTACCAAATTAACTATCCGTGAGCAACCTCTCCTTTCCTTCTCCTGCTCGTATGTTCTCTAGTCTTAACAAGAGTTCACCGTGACGCTCAACTACCACATCTTCTTTCTATCATACACTTGTGGCTCAATGTTAATCATATCTTCAACCAACTTCTATCTTGGCCCCTACTTGAGTAAACCAAAACTTCACATGTCACTAGTATCGAAACTGATTTAAAAAAATAACATTCATTTTATGTTTGACATTGGGAAGGACCATTATATTATGTTGGCATTATAATTGTTTTTATTTTATGTATGGTATATAATACCTACAGTTCGGTTCATCCACTCAAAGTCGTTCGGTCCAACCGCTACAACAAATGTTGGTCCATAATTAGGTCAACGTTTAAGTTATTATTGGACCATAGTCCAGCAGACGATAAAATAATTAAAGATATCTTATTAAAAATATTGATAATTGATTAAAGATATTGATAAGTTGTTTATCAGTAACCAACCGAATCTAAAGGTAAGTTTGTTTTTATTTTATTGGATCTGTGTTGGTTTAGGATCCATGAGACACTTATAAATATAGGGTCAAGGCAGAAATTCAGGCACGTTCCACTTACATTCTACTTACGTTCAACTCACACTTTACTAGACTCAAACATTCAACTGTG